AAACAGAGAATACCAGAAAGATGTTTACCTATGTAAAAAAGCATTCGGCTTTGTGGATCAAAACAAATTATGGATAACATTGCGAAGGGTGGGAATTCCAGAACACTTAATTGTGCTCGTGAAGAAACTATACATAGATCAAGAGGAAGTTGTTAGAACAAAACAAGGGGATACTACATGGTTTGAAGTCAGGAAAGGTGTGTGTCAGGATTGTATCATTTCACCATACTTATTCAATCTGTATGCTGAGCAAATACTCTCAGTAGCTGGACTATACGAAGAACGGGAAATCAGGATTGCAGGAAGGCTTGTTAACAACCTGCATTATGAAGATGACATAACCTCGCTTGCTTAAAGTGAAGAGGACTTGAAGCGCTTACTGATGACCATCTAAGACTACAGCCTTCAGTATGGATTGCACCTCAACATAAAGAAAACAAAAATCCTCACAACTGGACCAATAGGCAACATCATGATAAAAAGAGAAGAGACAGAAGTTGTCAAGGATGTCATTTTACTTGGATCCAAAATCAACACCCATGGAAGCATGAGTCAAGAAACCAAACAGTGCATTGCATTGGGCAAATCTGCTGCAAAAGACCACTTAAAAGTGTTGAAAAGTAAAGATGTCACCTAGAAGACTAATGTGCGTCTGACACAAGCCATGGTGTTTTCAATAGCCTCATATGCATGCGAAAGCTGGATGATGAACAAGGAAGACCGAAGAATTGACGCCTTTCAGCTGTGGAGTTGGTGAAGAATATTGAATATACCATGGACTGGTAAAAGAACAAACAAATCTGTCTTGGAAGGAGTACAACCAGAATGCTCCTTAGAAGAAAAGATGGCATACTTAACATGTTGTCAGGAGGGATCAGTCCCTGAAGAAGGACATCATGCTTGGTAAAGCAGGTGGTCAGTTAAAAAAAGACCCTCAACAAGATGGATTGACACAGTGGCTGCAACAATGGACTCAAGCATATCAACGACTGTGAGGATGTCGCAGGACCGGGCAGTGCTTTGTCCTGTTGTACATAGGGTCACTATGAGTGGAATCCGACTCGATGGCACCTAACATCAATGACAACATGCAACAGTTCTTAAATTGCAATACTCAAGACTTAAATCCAGGCTCTAAACAAAGTCTAGTAATAATGGAATATAATTAGTCTGTGATAAATTCTTAGACTAGTATAAAGCCTATGCCTGCATGAATTTTTAGCAACCACACCACATTCATATTAACTTTTGGAGTTAAGATTCTTGGATATTTTCCACATAAGGCAGTGGCAAGATGGGGTCTTGGGAGTGGAAAACTGGTTTGGGAAGCTCATGTCAGATGGCGACAGCAGACTCCAGGGAACCCAAGGAGGAAACAGAGCTGCCAAGTTGAGATGCAAACAGTGGGGACAACAGTGTCACCATGCATGGCACCAAGAGTAGGGAAGTGGCGCTGGAGGAGGTGTGCAGACTTCATGACGCACTATCCAACTGAGAGGAAACCAAGACACATCGAGGGACATCAAGCCAGAGTCAAGGCAAAGTTAGAAGAAAAGTGCCCTATGTGGAGCCAAGGACTCTTACAGGAACACCAGAAAACAAGAAAATAAAGTGTGTCTGAGCCAGGGCAGCCCCAGGGAAAGTCCAGATGAGCTAAGGAAAGTTATGGAGACATGATGTGGGAGCGGCAAGAAGTGCACACCAACCGAGGAAGACCAAGTCCCTGTGGACTCTGCCTTTGAACCACGAGAGACCCAGGAAACCTGAGGAAAGGGCAAGCACTCGACCTCCAGGGACACTGATGAGCTGTGGGAAAGGGAAAAGGCTCTCCCCAGAGGAAACAAACGGGAAAGGCCTGACATGGAGACAAAGGGTGTGAGGAGGGAGGACTCATCACGGCACAGGATTGGGTTAGGGGACCAGCTCTGGGAGTAGAGGGGGATGAAGGGCCCAGGACACAGGGAGGTGCTCACTCCTTACATTGAGCGCCATGGAGGCATCATTGGTCTCACCCTAGTCCAGGCCCTGGGTGGGGCCACCCCAGAGATGAAAAGAAACCAGAGAGCACAGAGAGGGATTGGGTCTGGGCCCCATGAAAACCAGAGCAGAGGAGGAAAATGAGACAACCACTGGTAAATGACAGAGGAACCCAAGGGAAATAGGCTTCCCTAGAACCACAGAGAAGCCGCATCTGGACACATGGGCTTGGCATAAATCACTCATGATGTGGATCCATGTAGTGACCAGACCTTGGAAAGCTGGGAACCTTCAGGCCATGCCACCACTGAAAGGACCACATGCTCCCTACTGGCAGGCAAAGCCCAAGGAGAGGGGAGGGGTGGGGCTAGTCTGGCTTGTCTGGTCCCTTTGACCTAAGACTAAGTCATTCTCCATCATGGGGAGGGATGGCTGGGAGGTGGGGAGGGATGGCTGGGAGTTGGAGAGGGGACAGGAGTGGCACTTGGTGGGTGTCCTTCCACATGAGAACATGTGATGAAAGCAGTTGGCTATAAACAAAAGTAGGTACCATTCTTCACCCTTCCGTGTGTCTGTATCCACACTCTGTGCTGAGTTTGCCTCCACCCACTAGATGGGGAATTAGCTTGGCCTAGTGTCTTGCCTGGAGTCCCTGAGTGGTATCAACATTTAACTCACTCTGCTGCTAACCCATAAAGTTGGCAGTTCAAGTCCACCCAGAGTTGACTTAGAAGAAAAGCCTCACAATCTTTTTAAAAATCTGCTATTGAAAACCCAATTGCACACAGTTCTGACACACATGGGGTCACCAGGAGTCAGATTCAACTTGATGGGAAACTGGTTTTTTTAATGACTTGCTTTGGGCACTAGAAAAACTAGTCTGTGCAGATTCCCAACTAGGCCTCAAGAAACAGTGAATGCCTCCTGTCACTCTTGGCACTCCCCTCCTCCCCCACCATGTGAACAACCTGGGCTGCCTGCTGGAGGACAAGACACCTTGTGTGCAGATCACAGTTACCCCATCCAGGGCCATCCCAAACCAGCCGTCAGTTGGTTCTTCATCACGACAGCAATTCTGAAACTATTTTATGTGTATTCTAAGATGCAGCAAATAATGCACTGTGGATAATGAGAACCTATAATATTACTGTTAGAGAAAGGAGAACGTATAAGGGAAAAGTCTAAAATGAATTCTGAGTTGTTGGACTGGAATCAGCGATATGGGGATCTTGTGGTTTTTCAAATATATACCAATACATACAAAAATAGATATAAATACATGTCTCTGTGTATGTATACTTACACACGTTTCCTACCTCTTTTCACTTTAAGAGTCCAGTAGCAATAAGCATATCTAATGCCAAGATCTTTGTTCTAAATTTTCTAATAATAGGAACCATGGTTCTGGAAAAAAGTCTAACTCCAGGGCTTGGGCAGAAAAAGGACAAGATAAGCCTTGAACACTGCCAGAAAATAATGTATGAATTATAATGGGGATATGTCAAAAACTACAGGAACTTACTTAAAAAAAACCAAACCTGTTGCCCTTGAATTGATTATGACTCATAGTGACCCTATAGGACAGAGTAGAACTGCCCCACAGGGTTCCCAAGGAGTGGCTGGTGGATTTGAACTGCTGACCTTTTGGTTAGCAGCCGATTGCTTAACCACTGCACCACCAGGGCTCCAGACTCTACTTAAGAGAACTCTTAATAACAAAATCTGTGACAATTTTAGCTAGGAAAGAAAAGAAAAATGTAATATGGATTAAGGTATAGTGTTTTAGTCATCTAGTGCTGCTGTAACAGAAATACAAGTGGATGGTTTTAACAAAGATAAATTTATTTTCTCACAGTCTAGTAGGCTACAAGTCCAAATTCAGGGCGTCAGATCCAGAGGAAGTCTTTCTCTCTCTGTTGGCTCTGGAGGAAGTTCCTTCTCATCAATCTTTCCCTGGACTAGGAACTTCTCTGTGTAGGAACCCCAAGTCCAAAGGACATGCTCTGCTCCCGGCGCTGCTTTCTTGGTGGTATGAGGTCCCCAAATCTCTGCTTGCTTCCCTTTCATCTCTTGTAAGATAAAAGGTGGTGCAGGTCACACCCAAAGGAAACTCCCTTTACATTGGATCAGAGATGTGACCTGGGTGAGGGTGATACATCCCACCCTAATCCTCTTTAACATAACCTAATAAACCGCCACATTAAGCACAGGTAGAGATTAGGATTTAAAACACATAGAAAAACCATATCAATCACAAAATGGAGGACAACCACACAACACTGGGAATCATGGCCCAGTCAAGTTGACACATTTTTGGGGTACATAATTCAATCCATAACACTAGTATAAACAATTTAATAAAGGGGAAAGATATTCCTTGCAGAATTCCAACTAATAAACATAGAAGAAATGATTGGAACAGAAAATACCATTTGGTAAACACCCAATAACCACATAAAATAATTACCAATGGGTACTAAAATTTGTAGGCCAAAGTACCATGAAAATCAGAATATTTGCAGTCTCTGTTATCAGCCTATGACAAATTTACTAATTATAAAGGGTAAAATAGTTAACTTTCCAATATGAAAGAAGAAAATGTGATAAACGGAATCAAAACACTCAAACCAAATGCAAGATCAGTATATTTTATTATATGTAAAATAACAGCAATAAAATATTAAGAAATATAAAACGAAATTTGCTCACGGCTATTCCCTGCAGCCTTATTTGTAATAATTAAAGACTTTAAGAAAGGTAAAATCTAGCTTGGACTAACAAAGTAACAAACACTGATGAGGACAGTGCAGCAGTTACAATGAAACTGTCATTTCTCCCAAAGGCACAAAGTACCTGTAATTACCCCATCCTTGAGATCATATTACTTTCTTACTCACTGAGAAACTTTGTTCTTTAACCACAGACTTCAGGCAATTTTTTGTTTGAAATTATAGCAGTAAGGATGAAACATCCCACTTTTGACATACAGCATTCTTTTCACTGTGAGTTATATGTCTAGATACGAGGAATGATTAAAGGCTTTCCCACATTCCTTACATTCATAAGGTCTTTCTCCACTCTGAGTTGTATGTTTAGTAAGGTGTAAGAAATGATTAAAGGCCTTCTCACATTCCTTACATTTATATGGTCTTTCTCCAATGAGTTGTTCTTGTATGTCTAATGAGGTGTGAGACTTGCCTATACGTTTTCCCACATTCCTTACATTCATAGGGCCTCTCTCCAGTATGAGTTCTTATATGTTCAGTGAAAGATGAGGCCTCACTAAATGCTTTCCCACATTCATTACATTCATAAGGTCTCTCTACATTGTGAGTTCTTATATGTCTAGGGAGATTTGAAGAATCACTAAATGTTTTCCCACATTCCTTACATTCAAAAGGCCTCTCTCCAGTATGAACCGTTCTTGTATGTTTAATGAGGTGTGAGACTTGCCTATAGGCTTTCCCACATTCCTTACATTCATAGGGCCTGTCTCCAGTGTGAATTCTTATGTGAGTAGTGAGGACAGAGGAACACCTAAAGCTTTTACCACATTCCTTACATTCATAAGGCTTCTCTCCACTATGAATTCTTATATGTGTAGTGAGCTGTGATGACTGACTAAAGGTTTTCCCACATTGCTTACATTCATAAGGCCTCTCTCCACTGTGAGTTCTTATATGTTTAGTGAGGTGTGAGGGGTGCCTAAAGGCTTTCCCACATTCCTTACATTCATAAGGTTTCTCTCCACTATGAGCTGTTTTTGTATGTTTAATCAGGTGTGAGACTAGCCTATAGGCTTTCCCACATTCCTTACACTCATAAGGTCTCTCTCCAGAGTGCGTTCTTATATGGGTACGGAGGACTGAGGAACACCTAAAGCCTTTTCCACATTCCTTACATTCATAAGGCCTCTCTCCACTGTGAATTCTTATATGTTCAGTGAGGTGTGATGACTGACTAAAGGCCTTCCCACATTGCTTACATTTATAAGGTCTCTCTCCATTGTGAGTTCTTATGTGTTCAGAGAGGTGATAGGAACAACTAAAGGTTTTCCCACATTGCTTACATTCATAAGGCCTTTCTCCACTGTGAGTTCTTATATGTTTAGTGAGGTGTGAGGATTGCCTAAAGGTTTTCCCACATTCCTTACATTTATAAGGTCTCTCTCCAGTGTGAGTCCTTATATGTGTACGAAGGGATGAGGCCTCATTAAAGGCTTTCCCACATTCCTTACATTCATAAGGCCTCTGCCCACTGTGAGTTCTTATATGTGTAGTGAGGTGTGATAACTGACTAAAGGCTTTCTGACATTCCATACATTCATAAGGCCTCTCTCCACTGTGACTTCTTATATGTTGAGTGAGAGATGAGACCTTACTAAATGCTTTCCCACATTCCTTACAGTCATAAGGCTTATCTCTACTACAAAATTTTTTATGTAAAAAGAGGGATGAAGGACGTCTAATGGTTTTACATTCTTTATATTCACGCTTATGACTTGTCACATGTGTCCAAAAGGATGATAAACCACAGAAATCTTTCCCACATTCACTATATTCATATCGTTTCTCACCAGTGAGTGTTGTCACAGGATTCTTAAGGGTTGAAAAACAAATTAAATCCTTCCCACATACCTTACATTTATGGGGTTTCTTTCCAGTAAGAGTTCCCAAAGAAGTGGTTAGGTGAGAGAGAAAACTGCAGGCTTCTCCACATTGCTTAGTCTGATAAGTATTGCATCCAGTGTGAGATCTGGCATGATAGTTATGTGATGAATGATCCATGAAGGTTTTTCCACACTCACAGCATTCAAAAGGATTTACTTCTGGAGGATTTCCCTTTAGCACAGTTTGATTTGGAATCCGGCTGAAGGTCTCCTCACAATGATTGCCTTTATTACTTTCACAGAGGTTCTCTACTGTATGACTTCTGCTAAAAATAGGCATCATTCTGTTGGAAATAAATTTGTTCTCATTATACCATTAACAAACACAGTGAGAGTGTACGATTTTTGCCGACTTGTCTCGTGTTACATAGGTTGAATCATCTAACAGAGATACTACTATTACTGCCACTTTTTCTAAAATATGTGGCATTCTGATAATTGTGTCCAAGTGAAATATGTTTCAAATATTTTGTATCTGACTCAAATTTATAAGAATGTTACATTGTGAAATTTCTCTGAACACATAATTTTACAATTTTAAATATTGTTGTCAGATGCTGTTGAGTTGGTTCTGACTCATAGTGACCCCATGTACAACAGAATGAAACATTGCCTGGTCCTGCGCCATCCTCACAATTGTTGCTATGTTTGAGCCAACTGTTGCAGCCACTGTATCAATCCATCTCATTGTCTTCCTCATTTTTGTTGACCCTCTACTTTATCAAGCATTATATATATAAACATATGTATATGCATATACATATGTCAGGACACATTAGGATTTTCTTCTGAGGCACCATTTTCTCTTGTATGAATGACACTTACCTCAAATATCTCTTCTGGTTTTTATGCTGATCTTTATTGCCATATGATTCGGAGATTTCTCCTAACACGGCAGACCAAGTACTCTTCATAAATCGCACCATTACATGTTCACTGAATAATGTTTCTCCATCATGAAGGTTCTGAAAGACTGACCCAATAATTCAAGTTGAGGTTAACAATATAAAACAAAAAGGAAGCGTACTATTAGGGGAAAAAAGGTTGCTATGAACAAAGAACAATTTGTTGTTTCAGCACTTTGACAATTGTTAAAAAGCAATTTACTAGGAAAGACATCCATAAGGATTGACAGGGATGGTGACACAAATAGATGTAATTAGCAGAGCTAACTAGAAAGATACTGAACACAATACACATGTAACATTAAAAGAGAAAAAGGGACTCCACGACACAGATGTGAAAGGATTGCTATAGTCATGAAAGTAAGCTCAGGTATCTGTGACCTTGTGTCTTCAATCCAATAGTTTTTCTAGCTGACTGATTTAAATGTTATTCACTCTATGCAGTGCTGGTTCTTCAAAATATTCTTGCTCTCCTGATGCTTCTCGACACAGTGGCCCTGGATGAGTCCTATCTCCAATCTCCTTACTTCTCTAGCAAAACAAATGGGTATAGCTAACATTGTGCCCATGGAGAAATGAATATCATGAGGGAAGACAGTGAAGAGCAATGAACATTTCCCTGACACTGGACTTTGCTCTTCAGGGTTTCTGAAGATGGGCAGTTGTGAGCTTATTTGAAGCAAAACAATCATGTTAAACTTACAATAAACACAGTAAAAGTCTATAAGGTCCCAAAAAACAAATGTCTAAGAAGCCCAAAGTGACCCCTGAATCCAACACTTACACTTACAACACTTAAAGAGCCTCAAAGCTTTTAACCACAAAAGAAATGAAAACTTACTTTAATACAGAGCTTTATGTTCATGGAGAAACCAGGATATGTGACCTCCATATATCAAGGAACCATGCCTGTTTTATTTAACAATTTATTCTCATTCCTCAGCCCAAACACTGGCGCAAACTCAATGACGAGAATATTTTTGTTCACTGAAGGAATAAATTTTTTTTAAAATGATGCCAATCTTACCTACAGAGGCCAGGTTTCTGAAGGTTTCCATCATCACATCTCTGTAGAGCATCCTCTGAGCAAGATCCAGCAAAGCCCACTCCTCCTGGCTAAAGACCACGGCCACATCCTCAATGACCACTGAGTCCTAAAACATCCCACACATTCTGGATCAGCAAAGTACCATATACTCCACTGTATACAAGAATGAAAGGTGAGGCTATCCTGGGGAACTGAGAATTCATAGGGATTTGACATAGGTTCTGTGTTCTATCAAGGTCTACTCTAGGGTATAGCCATCAGGCTCGTCCTTTCACTAACTACATTCACTTACTGATTGCATCCTATCTCAGACTTCCAACACACTGAAATAATCTAAATTGCAGTCTTATTCCTATCGTCTAGAACAGTTAAAAAACATAGCAGAAATTAGAGAAATGCTCTAATTCAGATCACTTCTGTCTGAACAATTTCACCTCTTTCCATAAGACCCACCAGAAAACTCAACAAAACATAAACCACAGGGTGAAGGAAAGATGAGGTAGTAAAAATGGGGAAACACTGTAGAATGGCAGTGTTTCCTTTTGCCCGTCAAAGTCATGGGAGGACCAGTGGCCCACACAAAGAATCTGGTAACCCAAGTCCCTGAGCTGGTCAGATTTTCTTGAACAACTCTAGGAGATCAAGGGGTGACAGGTCAACATGTGAAAAAAGAATACTCTTTTGGAGAATTAGTAATTTTTACATCTCAGTCACCTATTTTTGAAAAATTATCCTCTCATGCTGTCTGTCCCTTTCATAGGGACAGGTGAAAGTAACAAAAGTTAAAAAAAGCTCAGGTGAGAGACAAGGAAACATAAAAATCAGATCTCCCTACAAGTCTCAAATTTCAAGACCTGATGCGACTGTACGCCAATTATTAATGCCTGTTCCCCTCAACAAATCCATACACCCCACACAAATCATCTAATGTTATAAGACAACAAAGACGACTATCTTTGCAGAAACAAGAATAGCATGCCCTTGAGTTTGCTAAGAGGTTACAATTCCCATTTTTTAATAACTACACAACATAATGAACACGATTAGTGTCACCAAGTTATACATATAAACATTGTTGAATTGGCAAATGTTTATGTAATATTCTGCTTTCTGTCATTTCAAAAATGTTCACAGAATCTTCACCAGTAGTTTCCGTCTCAAGAAACCACCTTCTTTGCTCATCATCCATAAGAAGCAACTCTGCATCTGTTAAAATTTAATCATGAGATTAGAGCAATTCAGTCACATCTTCAGGCTCTGCTTCTAATTTTAGCTCTCTTGCTATTTCCACCACATATCTGCAGTTATTTCCTCCACTGAAGTCTTGAACCCCTCAAAGTCATCCATGACGGTTGAATTCAACTTCTTCCAAATTCCTGTTACTGTGGATATTCTGACCTCCTCCCACAAATGACAGATGTTCTTAATGACATCTAGAATGGCAAATCCTTTCTAGAAGATTTTCAATTTACTTTGCCCACATCCATCAGAAGAATCACTACCTATGGCAGCTACAGCCTCACGAAATTTATTTCTTAAATAATGGGGCTTGAAAGCTGAAATTATTCCTTGATTCATGGTCGGCAGAATGGATGCTACGTTGGCAGGCATAAAAACAACACTAATCTCCTTGTCCATCTCCATCAGAGCTCTTGGGTCACCATTGCTGATGAGCAGTAATATTTTGAAAGGAATCTTTTTTTTTGGAGCAGTAGGTCTCAATAGTGAGCTAAAAATAGTCAGTAAACCATGTTGTAAACAGATGTGCTATCATTCAGGCATTTTTTTGTTCCATTCATAGAGCACACACAGAGTAGAGTTAGCTTAACTCCTAGCTCAAGGATTCTCGAAATAGTAAATGAGCATTAGCTTCAACCAAAAGCCACCACCTGTATTAGCCCCTAACAAGAGATTCAGCCTGTCCTTTGAACCTTTGAAGCCAGGTATTGGCTTCTCCTCTTTAGCTATGAGAGTCCTGGATGGCTTCTTCTTCCAACATAAGGCCGTTTTCTCTACATTGAAAATCTGTCCTTTACTGCAGCCACGTTCATCAATTATCTTAGCTAGATCTTCTAGATAACTTGCTGCAGCTTCTACATCAAAACTTGCTGCCTCACCTTGCACTTTGACGTTATGGAGATGGCTTCTTCCTTAAACCTTATGAACCAACCTTTGCAAGCTTCAAACTTCTCTTCTGCAGCTTCCTCACTTCTCTCAGCCTTCATAGTATTGGAGAGAGTTACGGCCCTGCTCTGCATTAGGCTTTGACTGAAGGGAACATTGTGGCTAGTTTGATCTTTCCAGATGACTATAACTTTCTACATATCAGCAATTATGCTGTTTCGCTTTCTCATCATTTGTATATTCACTGGAATAGCACTTTTAACTTCAAGGATTTTTCCTTTGCATTCACAACTTGGCTGTCTGGCAAAAAGGCCTAGCTTTTCGCCTATCTTGGCTTTCAGTATGTCTTCCTCACTAAGTTCAATCATTTTTAGCTTTTGATTTAAAGTGAGAGACAAGTAACTCTTCTTTTAACTCGAACACTTAAAGGCCATTGTAGGGTTACTAACTGGCCTAATTTCAATATCATCATATCTCAGGGAATAAGGAGGTCTGAGGATAGGGAGACAGGGGAAGAGCCAGACGGCAGAGCAGTCAGAACACACACTTCATTTATTAATTTTGCTGTTATCTATGGGCACAGCTCATGGTGTCCCAAAACAATTACAATAGTAACATCAAAGATCACTGATCACAGATCACCATAACAAATATAATGAGAAAATTTGGAATACTGCAAAAATTACCAAAACATGACACACAGACATGAAGTGAGCACGTTCCACTGGAAAAATGGCACTGAGACTTGCTAAAAGCAAGGTTACCACAAACCTTCAATTTGTAAAAAACACAGTATCTGTGAAGTGAAATAAGGCAAAGCAAAATAAAACAAGGGATGTCTGTACTCCAAAGTACATACATACTGAAAAATTATTCACTGATAACAATTATTCCATTCTGACTCAACATTATGCTAAAGGTTGTAGCTGGTAAATGCCGAAAAAGAACAAAAGAACAAGAAAAAAAAGAAATGTAAAGAAATAAGAATGTTAAATAGGGGCAAGAGGAAGGAGCACAACCATATTTTATTTTACAGATTAAATAATTGTTTATACAGAACCCTAAAAGATGGTACATGTGATGATAGGACTGAAAAATTTTAGCAAGTATTCAGATTATAAAACAAAATCAAAGAAAGATTTACTTTAAATATTTCAGTTCCATACACTAGTACGAACCAGATGAGAAATTAACATTTGACGGAAAACATGTATTTTAATAAAAATAAAAAGAGGAATGTAATTAAAGATTCTAATGAAAAAATTATAAAATATTAAATGACACCCAAATAGACTGAAATAAATGAAAAGGTGGAGCATGCTCTTTAGAAAACTGCTCTCCCCACATGTATCATTTCCAATGCACTTCTATAAAATTTCAAGCCACTTAATTATTCTTTAAGGCTTCACAAAAAATATACACATATGTATATATAAGGTATTTGGAAGTGCAAATGCCCACAAAGTGTCAACATGTTCTAAGGAAAAAGGCATGGGGGCTTGTCCAAATATGTCACATATAATTATGCTTTTATATATTTATGTTGTAAATAAAGCTGTAACATACTAGACAGTGCAGTATCAGTATAAGAATACACAAATTCACCAGTGGAAAAAAACAGCCCTGGAAAACGCCCACCAATCTACATAAAGTTGATTCATGATATAGCAAGCAATGCAGGGCAGTGACTGAAAACACATTTCCAAATGTGGGGCAGTGTCAACTAAATGGAGTCCCTGAGTGGCACAAAGTGTTAAGCACTCTGCTACTAACTGAAAGGTAGGTGGTATAAGTCCATCCACAGGAACCAAGGAAGGTCTGGCAATACAATACTTCCCAAAAAATCAGCCACTGAAAACCCTAGAGAGAACAGTTCTACTCTGAAACACCTGGTGTAACCATGACTCACGATCACTACAACTAGCTTATTTAAAAAAAAAAAACTACCTAATTCCCCCACACGTCTGTCACTTTGTCGCACTGTGGGGGCTTGTGAGTGGTAGTGATGCTGGAAACTGCCACCAGTATTCAAATACCAGCAGGGTCACCCATGGCAGAGAGATTTTAAGTTGAACCTCCAGACTAAAAGAGACTAGGAAGAAGGATATGGAGGTCGACTTCTGAAAAAAATTAGGCAGTGAAAACTTTATGAAGAGCAGGGGAACACTATCTGATATAGTGCTGAAAAATGAGCCCCTCAGGTTGGAAGGCAGTCAAAATACAACTGGGAAAGAGCTGCCTCGTCAAAGTAGAGTTGACCTTAATGACATGGATGGAGTCGAGCTTTGGGAACTTCATTTGCTGATATGGCACAACTCAAAATGAGACGAAACAGCTGTAAGCATCCATTAATAATCGGAACGTGGAACATATGAAGTATGACTTTAGGAAAATAGGAAATTGTCAAAAATGAAATAGAACATATAAACATCGATATCCTAGGCACTGGTGAGCTGAAATGGACTGGTATTAGCCATTCTGAATTGGACAATCACATGAACTACTATGCCAGAAATGACATATTGAAGAGGAATAGCATCACACTCATCATCAAAAAGAACATTTCAAGATCTATCCTGAAATACAATACTGTTAAAGATAATATCCATATGCCTACCAGAAAGATCAGTTAACATGTCTATTATTCAAATTTACACACCAACCACTAAGGCCAAAGATGCAGAAATTGAAGATTTTTACCAACTTCTGCAGTCTGAAATTGAGCAAATATGCAATCAGGATGCACTGATAATTACTGGTGACTGGAATGCAAACACTGGAAACAAAGAAGAAGGATCAATAGTTGGAAAATCTGGCCTCGGTGACAAAAATGATGGCAGAGATCACATGATAGAATTTTGCAAGACCAAAGACTTCTTCATTGCAAATAACTTTTTCAACAACACAAACGGCAACTATACACGTGGACCTTGCCGAATTGAATACACAGGAAAAACAAATCATCTACATCTGTGGAAAGAG